TCTCTTTGCAGTCCAGGGGATTCTCAAGAGCCTCCTCCAGCACCACAATTCAAAGGCATCAATTCTTCGGCAGTCTGCTTTCTTTATGGTCCAGCTCTCGCTTCCATACGTCACGACAGGAAAAACCATAGCTTTGACTATTCGGACTTTCGTTGGCAAGGTGATGTCTCTGCTTTTTAAGATGCTGTCAAGGTTTGTCATTGCTTTCCTCCGAAGAAGCAGGCGTCTTTTAATTTCGGGGCTGCTGTCTCCATATGCAGTGATCATGGAGCCCAAGAAAGTAAAATCTGTCACTGCCTCCATATCTTCCCCTTCTATTTCCCAGGAGGTGATGGGACCAGTGGCCATGATCTTAGTTTTTTTGATGTTGAGTTTCAGGCCGTTTTTTGCACTCTCCTCTTTCACCCTCATTACAAGGTTCTTTAATTCCTCCTCACTTTCTGCCATCAGAGTGGTGTCATCTGCATATCGGAGGTTGGTGATCTTTCTTCCTGCAATCTTAATTCCAGCTTGGAATTCCTCCAGTCCAGCCTTCTGCATGATGTATTCTGCATATAAGTTAAATAAGCAGGGTGACAGTATACAGCCTTGTCGTACTCCTTTCCCAATTTTGAACCAATCCGTTTTTCCATATCCAGTTCTAACTGTTGCTTCCTGTCCCACATATAGGTTTCTCAGGAGATGGATAAGGTGGTCAGGGACGCCCATTTCTTTTAGGACTTGCCATAGTTTGCTGTGGTCCACACAGTCAAAGGCTTTTGCATAGTCAATGAAGCAGAAGTAGATGTTTTTCTGGAACTCTCTGGCTTTCTCCATAATCCAGCGCATGTTGGCAATTTGGTCTCGAGTTCCTCTGCCCCTTCGGAATCCCGCTTGTACTTCTGGGAGTTCTCGGTCCACATACTGCTGAAGCCTACCTTGTATGATTTTGAGCATAACCTTGCTGGCGTGTGAGATGAGTGCAATTGTCCGGTAGTTGGAGCATTCTTTGGCACTGCCCTTCTTTGGTATTGGGATGTAGACTGATCTTTTCCAGTCCTCTGGCCACTGTTGAGTTTTCCAAACTTGTTGGCATATTGAATGTAGCACCTTAACAGCATCATCCTTTAAGATTTTAAATAGTTCAACTGGAATGCCATCACCTCCACTGGCCTTGTTGTTAGCCAGGCTTTCTAAGGCCCACTTGACCTCACTCTCCAGGATGTCTGGCTCTAGGTCAGCAACTATATTGTCTGGGTTGTCCGGGATATCCAAAACTTTCTGATATAATTCCTCTGTGTATTCTTGCCACCTCTTCTTGATGTCTTCTGCTTCTGCTAGGTTCCTACCATTTTTGTCCTTTATCATGTCCATCTTTGCGCGAAATGTTCCTCTAATATCTCCTATTTTCCTGAACAGATCTCTGGTTTTTCCTTTTTCTGTTATTTTCCTCTATTTCTTTGCATTGTTCATTTAAGAAGGCCCTCTTGTCTCTCCTTGCTCCTTGTGAAGCCTAGACTTATACTTACATTTGTCTAGTGGTATAAATTCTGGTGACAAGTTGCTGTTGAAGATTTCAATGCTTGTATCACACATGATCCCATGTGTTGGTGTCTGACTAGAAATGCAAGCTTTGGCTGCCTAATTGGTGGCAGTTTACTGCTGAGATTTGAACTTAAGGCAGCACATGTGTGTGTAATAGGATTCTGGCCACAGCCTTGTGTGAAGAGAACTTTTATCTCTAACACTATGCTGATTGGTTGGGTCCTCAGTAGTATTTGCGTGTGGCTACGTGACAAGGTCATGCAATTGTTCTAGTCATATCTTAGCCCAGATTGGATTTAGATCATATAAGATAATGTATATACCATATAAGGAAGGCTTTAGGTGTGGAGGCAGTGGCTCATTGCCAGTTCTCCTTTCAGGTGCAGATCAAAAGTTTCAGCCACAGTGGTTTGAGGGGAGAACACTGTATATTCTTTTGCTTCTTCTCTTTTAGAAGGAAGAATGCTAATGAAAGAGGTGTGAGAATTGGGTCATGGTTTTTGTTCCTAAATATTGGCACTTGATTTATTTCCCACACCACATTTATACATGTTTCTTTTAAATTGGGCTTGGTTTTGGTTTGCTTGAATACATACTAAGGAACAAGTTCAAAGGTTTGAAACGTGGATATAGATCTCTGTCTAACTACCCTTTTTTGTATGTATATGGAAAAGCATATATGCTGGGGTGGTTATTGTTTTCAAAGAAAAGTCAGTGGGAGGTATAAAGATCCAGATTTCCAAAAAAATGTGAATTTCTAGGGCATGCAAGGGATTATTCTTCACTCAAGCAGCCAAAACAACGAAGTAGTTTGGTTTGGGGGTTGATGCTTGGGTTCTTTCCAAGGCTAAGAGAAAGTGATCAGTGCAGTTAATGTTTATTATTATTTTAAAAATAGGATGGGAAGACTTTGAATGATGAGTTGGAAATCATTGAAGGCATGAAGTTTGACAGAGGCTACATCTCTCCCTACTTCATAAATACTGCCAAAGGTAAGCTGATACAGTTTGAATGAAATGCTAAGTTCAGATTGCTCTCCCCAACTGCATTGGTCAATGAAGTGCAGTAGAGGGAGGTTAAATTGAATAGGCTTTTTTTATGCTGAGGGGTAGCCTGTAAAGGTGTCTGTAGGCACATGACCCAGTCTCGGTAGCTTTTGCAGAATTAGACCTGTGATTTTCGTGCTTTTGTAGCTGGCGATATTTATATGTGCAAATAAATGAAAATAGAAAGATGGAAATCTGCTAGCATTATTACCAATCTTTACAAATACTGTTTCGGTCACTGTTTAGTTCTGATTAGAATATTTTTACTAATGAGGCTGCTGTAAAAATTGCATGGTCTTGTTACAGTTGTTTGCAAAATGACTATGCAAAAAAAAAGTACTGTGAGTGCTCACTCTCGCTCTACCTGTTTGGCCGATTAAAAAACCAGCACAAAACACCGAACCAGCTGTTCGTGCCCATCTCTGATCATGTCCTATAGTTAATGAGGATTTTAAGGATTTTTTTTGAAAGGTGTACAGTTTTTAAGAGGACATTTTATAAGATAATGTAACATTATTCTGCAGGACAGAAATGTGAATTCCAAGATGCCTATGTGCTAATCAGTGAAAAAAAGATTTCCAATGTTCAGACGATAGTACCGGCTCTTGAAATTGCCAATAATCACCGTAAGCCTTTAGTCATTATTGCTGAAGATGTTGATGGAGAGGCCCTCAGCACTCTTGTATTAAACAGGTAGGTAGGAACCTTTTGTGGTTGTTTTGGCCCCCCCCCCCCCGGATCTATGTGAATCCAGTAGAAGGAGACCTGGTTGTCATCATGGTGAAGAGAGGAGTTGGTGATCTGGTTTTTTTTCTGGGGAAATGCAAGGAGTAGAGAGGTCTTCATTCTAGTCAAATACTATAACTCTTCTTTACCTCACTTGTATTTCTTACCATCGTTTATTAGGAGGAGCAGGACCCCGGGGAAGTGGGAGTTGTCACTTTTCTCAAAGCTCTGTGATTTTGAGCTGCAGCTGTTAATCTAGAGAAGGGAATCTGGTAAACTAGCTCTGATGGTTCCTTCCAGACACAAGGACTGCAGAAGACCTTGGCCCAGTTCAGTTCTGGGTCACTCCCTATTTAGTAACATTTTCATTAATCTGTGAAGTAACATTTTCATTCATCTCTCTTAACTTGGAAATGGTATTTTCTTTCGTCAGGCTGAAGGTTGGCTTACAGGTTGTTGCAGTAAAAGCACCAGGTTTCGGTGACAATAGGAAAAATCAGCTTAAAGATATGGCCATTGCGACAGGTGGTGCTGTAAGTAAAGGCTAATACTGACATATATACTAAGAAATAATACTGAGAAATGATTAACTTTTAAAGGATTTCCTGTGTATTAGGAAGCTCACCATGTGATGTATAACTACTGCTTTGTTTATATTTACTTCAGAAACTTTGGAGATGCTACATAAAAGTTGCAGTAGGAACGTGGCAAGTCATTTGATACTAAATCATGCAATTGGTCTGTCTGGCTCAATAGTTTTTGATTTTTTTTAAAGACCCAGCAGGCTGGTAGGAAAGTCACAGATTGACCTGGCCTGAAGTCAGGAGTGATTACTCGCATGTTCAGCTGAGAGCTACAGGATCTCTCTCTCTCTCTCTCTCTCTCAAGTTCTGGGTTCTGCTTGTTAGAAGACAGAATGTAGCTCAGTATTGGCTTCTGTGGCTGGCAGGCAGCTCTTTCAGCCCTTTTTGAAGAGGCCAGGAATTGAGCCTAGAAACATTAAGCTTGCAAAGTACTGACCCAAGGTGCTTGGTGGGAGCCATAAACCATCCCATGGACAGAATATTAGTAGCTTATGTCTTAGCTGACTTAAGTTTGCTGAGTAAAGCGCTGGAGCCACAGTATAAAACACTGACCTATAACTATAGAAAATTTGTCTATAAGCATTTTAACTTGTAATAGAAAACTGAAGTTCTGCTACATGAGGCCCAGTCTTTTGGTGCTGTACCTTGAGGTAGCAGATAAGTAATTGCTGAAACACTGTATATCTGCTAAATGCTGTAGAATAACCAGTTCTTTCTGTAAAGAAGGTGTTCAGGAAAATCATCTGTATGAGCACTCACAATAAAATTATAAGCCTGTTTACTGACCTCACTTGGACTTGATTGCCATGTTAAGTGTTCTTAGTTTTGTAGCCTCAGTGGCATCATAGGTTTGAAACCAGTGAAGTCTCCCATTTTCCAGCAGCTGATGCAAATCTGAGAAATGGCACCTGATTGGGAAATCAATGGTTTTTCAAATCTTTCAGGTGTTTGGGGAAGAAGGCTTGTCCTTAAATCTGGAAGATATTCAACCTCATGACTTCGGTAAAGTTGGGGAAGTCATTGTGACCAAAGATGACTGCTTGCTACTTAAAGGGAAAGGTGATAAAGCCCAAATTGAAAAACGCATTGAGGAAATAGTTGAACAACTAGACGTTACAACAAGTGAATATGAGAAGGAGAAGCTGAATGAACGTCTGGCTAAACTTTCTGATGGAGTGGCTGTACTGAAGGTGAGTACACTCCATTTTCATTTTGGGTTTACAGATAGACAACATCTTTCCTGAAAATCAGATTCAAAAGGCAGAATGTTGAAGGTGATTTTAGAATAGGAACAACCAGTTTCTGATGGCCCTTCAGGGAGAACCTTGTATTTACTATTAAGTCAATTAAGTATCAACCTACCAAAATTTCTCAAGTGACATTCACTGTGAAAAAGGTAATTCATTATGGCTGGGGCTAAAAAGTAATGTTTTTGTATGATAAATTGTGGAAGTTAAGTAACTGAAGGACAGTGTGCTCTCATCTCAAGGTTGGGCCCACAATGAATGCATGAAATTCAGTTAAAGCTAGAGTGAGCACAGTGACCAGGTTACAGCTGACTAGAGCCATAAGCATTACATTATCTAGAAGCCCCATTTTTTTGTACAGCAACACTAAGTGAGAAGATTCTTGTATAGTTCTCTCCTTCATAAGACCTAGATCAGTGCAGTTATGGCATTTTGGTCTTAGCTGTCAGTTATCAAGAGGTTAAACTATGAATAACAATGCAGCTGTTACATGACAAAAGTGAAATCCTGCTTGGTACTGACGTCAGTGCACCAGTACAGTTAGTCCTGCCTGTCAGAGGATGTTAAGGTTTGCTTTCTGGAAAGGTGACATTTGCCTTTCTATCCCAGAACGCATGATGTTGTGTGAAATGGGAGGCTTTCAAAAGTTGCTTGTGACACTACATGTGTCTTTTGATTTAAAAAGGACTAGCATCTCATCTTTTGGTCAGTGTAGCCATATTTTGAATTTTACAGACTGAGATGAGTGTTAGCTATGTTGTTATTGGGCGTGATGTTCTATTTGTAGAATAATCCACGTAAGAATGTGTTCAAGATCTAAAGAAGAATCTCTTTTATGTTAGGTTGGAGGAACCAGTGATGTTGAGGTGAATGAAAAGAAAGACAGAGTCACTGATGCCCTTAATGCCACTCGTGCTGCTGTAGAAGAAGGCATAGTTCTAGGTGGTGGCTGCGCACTGCTTCGATGTATTCCAGCGCTAGATGCTTTAACTCCTGCTAATGAAGATCAGAAAATAGGTGAGTGAATTCTACTGGTTTTCTGTAGAACACTACAGTTCAAATGCTGGGGTCGTAAAATTACTTGCAGCCACTTCAAAGAAGGAATTATTTGAAGCCACTCCTTACCGTTCTATCCCACTTTCCTCATGTGGGACTTCTTGGTCATACAGACAAGGGCTTTGAGGGGCAGCAGGAGTTCTAGGTGGGCTGGAAACTTTTTCAGCCGAGTGTTGAAATTCTGTGGCTTAAAAATATGTACGATGCGTTGGAAAAAGTTCAGGGACCTGTAGAGCAGAATCAACTTCAAGCCTACCCAAAGTTTGTTTTTTTCAACTGGCACTTACTGTCTCAGTCAATAACTCATTCAGAGACACTTGTAATAGAAAGAAAAGAAAATCTCATTTACTCAGTTTTGGATAGAAGAAAAATAACATATTGTAGAAAAAATAATTGTTGCATGAACAGAGCTTAATTGAGCCAAAGCTTCATGACTGACTCACCACGTAGTAGACAGAATGCTGTGTATAATTAACTGTCCCGATTGGAAAAAGACAGGAAAACGATCTTGAACGGAGAGGCATGGCTGTCTTCAAAATCTGAGCGAGAGAGGGAACAATTGGTTGCTGCTGGATTGATCGATAGTTACCCCAGCCCAGGGATGACTCTTAAAAGCAGCATACAAAGGTTGCTAAATTTCAACAAACTTTTACTTTGTGAATGCAAGGCAGGAGTTTTACACTTGGGTTGAAATGTGATTTTGCAATTTTCACTTCTGAAATAGAAACAGTCTACTAATTGGAACTATATGTTGGCTTCCCTGCCAGTAATGAGATTAATGTAACATGTCTTTGATTGGTGCTGAAGTAGCCTCCTCCCCACATCAGATAATGTATAATTTTTAAAATTCTTCAATGTATGTATTTTTAGGCATAGAGATCGTCAAGAGAACACTGAAAATTCCAGCAATGACTATTGCTAAGAATGCAGGTGTCGAAGGGTCACTTATAGTTGAGAAAATCATGCAAAGTGCTCCTGAGGTGGGATATGATGCCATGCTTGGTGACTTTGTAAATATGGTAGAAAGAGGCATCATTGATCCAACAAAGGTAAGCAGTCAATATTTCAACAAGAGTGTCTTGTCACTGTATGGATAAAAGTAGTGGATTTCTTCATTGAAATGTGCTTACCTTATTTTAGGTTGTAAGAACAGCCTTGATGGATGCAGCAGGAGTTGCCTCTCTTCTTTCGACAGCAGAAGCAGTGGTAACTGAAATCCCTAAAGAGGAAAAAGAACCTGCCATGGGAGGAATGGGGGGTGGAATGGGAGGAGGCATGTTTTAATCGTGGCTATCATGGATGTACATCATAAACTACAATGAGTGGCTTGATAGCTTAAATACGAACTTCAGGTCAGCATGAGACAGGATGGATGGTGACTGCAGAAGGGCAGTGTTTGAAAAGAATCACTGTACTACTAGTTACTGGATTTCAGTTGACACATGCATAGTCATTTACAGTCGTTGTCCATGCCTACAGATAATTTATTTTGTACTTTTGAATAAAGACATTTGTACATTCCTGATACTGGGTGCAAGATCCATGTACCAATGCTGTGCTCTAATCTCAAACCATTGGAAGCACTTGCAGTTCTGTAAAATCAGACTTTATTGGTGCTTGCTATCGCTAGGAAATGCAGAAGCCATTGTGTGTGAGACTGAATAAAAATTGTGTACAAAGTAGAGAAATATACAATTATGTGACAACTTTCTGTAATAAAAGATTGCTCAAAAGTTATAAAATGTAACTTATTCACACTAGATAATTTCATTTTGTAGCAGGCACCGAGGTGCCAGTTTGCTAGAAAACTCTTCAGAGCGCAGTGACAGTCTTAATGAAACACTTATTTTAAATCATTTCTAAAGTTTAGCAAGATATGACCTCTTGAAACCAATTTTGCTTGAAAAAGTTAAGACAAATTCAGATTATGCTGCCTTCTATAATTGACCATCAGATATTAGTTCTAACACTAAAATTATTGCTTGATTACAAAAAAAAATGGTTATTGCCATACAGAAAGGACATTTATTCATGGCTACAATGATAGTGAAATTTTGAATCCAATGGGGGAGATGCAGGGGACAATAGCGCTCCAGTATTTTTGCAGCTTTGGAGATGGCTGGAAGAGTAAGCTCTGGAGCTAGAAATAGTGGGCTTCTTACCTGAGCTTTTTCAGGGCCTTGCAGCATAAATCCAAACAAATGGAAGAGCAGCAGAACAGAACAGTTCTTATGCTATTCAAATCCTTTCCTCTACCATAAGTTATTTTAAGCATTGTCCAGATGTCACTAGGAGATATATATTGGGTTACTGTAGTGTGGTTTCTTGGTTTAAATTCATGATTATATACATATATCTCCTTTGATGTTTAACGGATTGCTAGATTCTTGCAACAATCCATTGCAATATTTGGTAAAATCATTTTGTTATCGTGTGCTTTATCTAGATTGATTCAGCTTACACAGCAAAGTTGCATATTTTTAGCTGTGCTACCATATAGCAAGCATACACTGCAAAACAAACTTTGTTCTCAGAGCCATCTTCTCTATGTTTTAAAGTATCAATAGCAAAAATAACTTAAAATATATCTTTAAAAGAATAACTTAAAAGGTTCTAATAATTATTACACACTGCAAAAATAAGGCCACAGAACGGAGTGCTGAGCTTCACACAAGCTGGTAAGAGGAAGAAGGCAATCCTGGTGTAGGTTATAGCTGCCACTCAAGTTGACATAATCAGCACCTTATAAATTGCACTTGATTGATGCTCCTATATTATATACATCAGTATTTTACATGCATATTTTGTACAGTAGTATACATAATAGGCACACACACCCCAGGTAGTTGGAAGCCCACATAAGAGGTATCTCATGTGTAAACATAGTATCCAAATAGTTCAAGGAAATTGCTGTTTTCACTCCCCTTTATGTGTGGTGCACTTCATGAAGCATCAGTTCTCGAGGTATGCTGGTTTCTTGACCATATATTTTGGATGCTCTTCTTTCAAATGCAGCTACCATCTGTTTTACAACTTCATCAAAAAACAATGTAGCAAGTTGAGAATGCAGAAAGGAACGAAACTCAAAAGAAATCTGTTGAAAGAAAGTAAGATTGTCAGTTGATGCAGCAAAGTTGGTATATACTTAAGGGAGGGTTCAGAGTAGAGATGGGGGTATTTGTATATGAATACCCCTGCAGAGGTGCAGACAACGATCAGCTGGCCCCATGGGGCTGGACGGCCCACTCACTGATGCGCTAATGCTGCAGGGTCCACACTGCCGTCCTATCACTCCAGAGCTCTTGATCACCGAGCCACTCTTTGACCTGGCAGAGAGGCTTGTCTCGTCTTCTGCCAGGAGTGGCTCGGCAATCACAATCTCTGGATAGGATGGCAGCGCAGACCCCACAGCATTAGTGCATAGGTGGGACGTTCGTTATCTCCACCTTTGCAGGGGTTATTTGTATACAAATACCCCCATCTCTAGTTCAGAGCCATCTTGCAGATTTGTCCAATCAACTGGCAATATTAGGGCCCCTTCACATGTTTTTAGGTTCCAGTCCTCCATTTCTTTCCAACAATAATATACTCCCCTTTCCTTCCCTTTGGTTTCTGCAAAGCTTGAGGTTCCCCCAATGTGATAACCCTTTTATTTCGAGAAGGAATATTTGATTAGTTTACTGTGTATATACTGTTAAACATACAGGATGGTGGTGAACTGTTTTGTTTGCTCATGGTAGAGCTATATGCTAGTAAGTAGACTTCATGTATGGGCTGTGTGAATATAAATCAGTGCCTGCACAAGGTATAATCATTATTTTTCTTTCTCATGTACTATTGTTTTCTTTTGGAGTAGATTCATTCTCTGTTGCCTTGCCTCTCTGCTTTTTGTAGTAGTTTTTAATAATTTTGTGGGGCTTAATTTAAGGTAATGCCAGGAAACCCGAATGGGGAAACTCAAAACAAAATAACCCAAAAGAGGCTTTCAGCAGGCTGTTGCTTATTTTAAGTAAACTGGCCAATTGACAAATATATAGTCTTGGAATCAAAGTGCTGTTTTTTTTAATGCAAGCAAGAAATCATGCAAACACACCCTAGCCAAATTCCTCTGCAGCAGTTTTTTGGAGGCGGGGAGGGGGAGCCCTGAAATCCTTGTTGCAAAACTAATATTCCCCCATCTCTGAATCCAACCCATAGATTCCAGCCAGTAGTACATTTAAAAAGGCATTTGGAAATATTTAAATTAGGAGCTTCATATGTTGAACTTTACTAAGGTTTTACTGGGTTTGGAAAACACCAAATTATTTTCCCTTGAAACATCCTGTCAATATAATTGTTTATTCTATAGAAAACAACAAGATAGCCTGATGCACTGAGAGGACTGACAAAAGCTAGGTTTTCCAGATTACAGAAAGAAATTAATGGGGAGGTGACCTAGGAGGGAGGCTTAGGATTCAGCAACACCAGTTTTTCCTTCTGATGCACCATTGAGGAGAGTGAAATTTTCAAATGATCAGATTTCCTCTTATTAAAAAAGTTACTGTCTCAAGTAACAGTGTGCCTTTCACTGTCCACTATCTAGTATTTCTGAAACCAAAAGGATTTTCAGAAGCACATCAAAAGATGGCATGAAGATCATGCTGTACAAAGAAAATAGAAAAGTACATGTAGCGAGAAATAACCAGCTTTTCTATACTCACTGAAAAATCCAGGGTGCATGTTCTTGGGTAGCCAGGGATTCCTGGACTGAAGCGCCATATTGTTTCCAGATGATTGAATAGTTTCCCATCTGTACAAGATGCCTGTCAAGACACCCTTAATTAGCTACCAGTTATTGTAGTTTTCAGTAAAAATTATATATAGTTATAAAACCACCCTATCATGATGAAACTAACAAGACTAACAGGAAAGTACAAGAGATCAAAGGTCAGAATCTAAATTAGGGCCTCAATTTTTTTTTCATTATTGGAAAATATCAAAAAGCACTGTACCAGGAAATGAAAACCTGTTTGATAAGGTGCTCAGAATGAGTGGACATTCGATTTTTTTTAAAGGACCAGTTTCCTAAAACTGATAGTGGTGCCCTGCTAGACGGACCCATTTTCACAAGACGATTTTGACAGCTGAGTCTGCGACTCACAAAATGGTTGTTTTCGGGACCAATTTTTGCAAGACAGCGATTTTAACAGCTGATCGGCACTTCGCAAAACGGTTTCTCTATGGGCGATTTTCGCAAAACGACGATTTGCCACCATTGGAACAAATTAAACGGATTTCAATGCATTAATGGGGGAACCGCATTTTGCAAGACAGTGTTTTCACAAGCCAGCGATTTTTGCTGAACGAATTAACATCGTCTTGCGGGGCACCACTGTATCCTGTTCAACAATGCTAGACTGAAATGGTAACAACTGTTAGTGAACTTTCAAAAGGCACGATCCCTTTGAAAGTCTATTACCGTAGTATCATTGTCACCCTCTTTTCCCCTTCCATTTGCTCTCTACCACACTACATATTTTGTGCACCTGTGGCCTAACTATTGTGCTTCATGTGTCCACAGAAACAGATTGTAATCCACAAAAGTACATACTAAAATAAATCTGTTAGTCTTAAAATGCTAATACTTTTGCTTTGATATTTATTTTTATTATACTTGAAACAAACTGATACATCTGCTTCTTTGAACTTAATTTTTTTAAGAAGGCAAGCAGGGTAGTTGGACAACTTGATGACAATTAGGTTGTCTTCCAGCTTTGATTTTATGGGGCATTCTAAAAAATAATGCTCATGATCTGGTCTGCAGAGGGTGTTGGCCAAGTACAACCCTGCTTCTTCCACCATACATCCCCCCATTCACCCCAAGTATTAAGAACCTTTGTGTGCTGCTGGCCTTCCTACATACATTGGCATGTGTTCATCCATGCATCCTGACAGCCTCTGGTCTAAGAAACTAGAAGTCAGTGTACATGTCTTATAATGCACAATAGTGACAACATATGTTTATCTACTAGTTTTTTAATTGATGAGAAAAACAATGCTAAACATTATTTCATAGTCAATCCTAGATACATAGGCCTAAAACTAATTCTAGATGGCTAGGACTGCCATCCATCTAGGGAGCAATTTCTGGAGTTCTAGCTTCTCACATTGAAAAAACACACTTCTTGACACATGGCAGAAGAGCTATTTACATTTATATTCAACAGCACAAAAGCAAAAATATTACCTTAACCAAGTGAGGTCTTACTAGTGTAACAACTGAGGTGTATTTCTCTACCACTGGAGGAAATCCCACTTCTAAGTTTGCTTTGCAGTACCCTGAACGCTTTGATATGACATCTGATTTTTTGCACCAAGGAACGAAGTTTTTGTATTCACTTACAACAGCTACCACATCATACATTTCTTGCATAGAGTACCTGTTAAACAAGAAAACAGTATTACAGAAGTCTCCAATAGGGAAGGGGAAATCATGCCTCTCCTTGCTGCCTTCCTTCAGCAGAGGTTCATGAAATACTGCTTTTTTACTCTGTCTACATCACAGGGTCACTGGGAAGAAAAGTGGAAGACTTAAAAACAATACACTCCATACTTTAATCAAAGGGGAAGACAAAAATAAAATATATAAATAACAATATGTATCCAAGTATTTCATTTCAGAGGCTTAGCTGTGAACACAAATCTACTCCACATATTAATGTGTAATTTCAGTTACTTTGTTTTTAGTGAATGCAAAGGGCAGAATTCTGCCTTGCATCCTGGTATACAGTGGCTTTAAAAACAAGGTGCTGTCCATTGTTTCTCTTGACTAGCTGCAATCAGTTTCAATGAAGTCAGTAGCAGGGAGCCAGTGTAGTCAAGTGTATACAGTATCAGATTTTGAGAAAAATCAGATTTTAAAAACCTACTCAGCCATGAACCTTTGAGGCACTCTCAGCCCCTTTGAGGCACTCTCAACACCAATTACCTGTGTAAGGGGATTATCAAGAGGATGAAAGTGACAAGGAATTTGCATGGCAAGCACTTATAAAGAGCTTATAAAGATTATGCCCATATTTACTTGATGTTAACCTCCAATAAATTATTATGTCTGCAATTACTCATTTAGAATAATAATAAAAACCTGTTGAAATATAAGAGAGGAAGCTTGAAACAGGAAACATGTACAGGCTAGAAGCCCACCAAGAAATATCTGCAGAATTTTGCTCAGTTAGAATTTCTAAACTGTTTCCAAGAGCAGACACACTTATAATTACAGCAGGGGTAGAATTTGCAGTTTTGAAACATGCCACCAGATGTATAAGAAATCCCATACTGTCTGTAAATCAACTTTAGTTTCGCAAAATGTAACTTTATTATCCCTGAAATAAATTCTATTCAAAGATATATTCTTTTTCAGCAGGAGCCTATGATTCCCATGCCAAAGTACTTCTGGAACTCTCCACTTGGATGCACAATACTTGTTGATTCATTGAATCGTGGTCCTAGCAAGTCCAAAATTGTTTTACGGTGTAACTCTATGCAGTGGTAACTCAAAATTAAACACTCAGTATGTAATGGAATTTAACTACTCCCAATTAAGTGCTAGTAATCTGTTGTATGTAAGAAAACAAAGAGAGCCATGCTGTTCTATGAGAAGTAAAACAAAATAAACCTAAAGTTAAGCAATGCCTTTATTAGGAAATAATGCCATAAAAATATACAAGCCTTTGAATTTGGACTAGGTGATAGGAGAAGTAAGAAAATTAAGCTGCGCATTTTAACCCCGAGGTCTGCAGTTCAGTCTCAAAATGGAGACTGCAGATTGAATTAATCACTTGTAGATGTTTCGGCATCAGATTACATAGAGCAGTGGTCCTCAACCTTGGGCCTCCAGATGTTCATGGACTACATCTCCCAGAAGCCTTCACCACCATCTCTGCTGGCCAGGATTTCTGGGAGTTGAAGTCCAAGAACATCTGGAGGCCCAAGGTTGGGGACCACCGACATAGAGCAATCCATACTGCAACAAAGCAACACTCAATTTCTGAAAATAAGGTTTTGTTCAACTCCCATCTCAAGGTGTGGGGAGCTCTGTATCTATCTGCTTCTTAAAATGTAAGAATACCTTAAAAAGTAAACTCCACTGATTTCTAAGATACTTTTTTTGAAAAAGTCTGAAAAATTTATGGTCAGATTGTTGGGTTCATGTAATTCACAAAGAAGGAAAATTAAATCAATTTAATTAAATGTTAAATGTTATCTTCATACAAACCCTATAATCCTCCTTTCTGAATATTCTTTCCTTTTGTTCCCTAGTGGTGCAGTAAAATTAAAGAAAGGTCTTGAAAAGATACAGTATCTTCCTGGTACTTGCAGGAGAGGGGCTTTGCTCAGCAACATTTCCCAAGAAGTCAAACGCCTGGAAAAAAAGATCAAATATTTCATTTGAATAAGCATTTGTTCAACAAAATATTATACAGTATAATGTATTCAAATGGTAATAAAACGAAAGAGTAACACAAGGATACTTAGGGCCTGCAAACTATACAGGATTAGGTTAAATTTTATTCATGTGGCAACCTAAATATATCTCAGTCATGAGAAAGAACCTGGCATCAGTACAATACAAAAGTGATTCCCCTTAAGACTTGGCTGCTAGTCAGTGTGAGGCCATAAACTGGATTCTACTAATGTACCCTTGAAATGCAAGCCTACTGCCAGATCAACAAACATATATAATACTTGACTTTTTCTGCCATAGAAACAAGGAAGGTTAATAACACAATATATCTGTAATTGTAATTAAATAAACCACTATGATACTGCTTTTTCACCCTTTAAAGATTCTGTTCTTGCACAGGGACATGAACTTTAGTTTTGCCCTATGCAGCTTCTGCAGCAAGAGTAATTACCATGTCGAGGTATTACAATGGCTGAAATCCAAGGGCAGGACTAGAGTTAGGCCCATTCAAGTCAGTGGGGGTTTGTGAGTCGATATCTATATAACTTTCACTGATAGTGGGTTTATTCGAATTGCAGCTTAATACTGGATTTCACCCGATGTCAGGTAAGCAGTCCAGACTACAGCTCTTTATGACAGACATTCTGCTAGCAGTCAGGCGGAACCCTTCACCATACATTCATACAGATCTGGTCAAAATACTGTAAGACAAGACAAAGGCAGCTAGATTTTCAAGTCTCACCCACTGGGGCACAAGCAAATTCATCTTAATACTAGCACTCGGAAGAATATCACGTGCCCAAAGGAAATGCCCTGTGGTAGCAGCTATCTGTATATGTGTGAGGCTTTATTTTATTATTTCTTAAATGTATCTTCCACCTCTTTGATGAGTTTAAACTGACAAACATGACTCCTCAATGTTGCTGTTTTGATTTGTATACCGCCCCACTCTCTGAGCAGTTTACAACCTAATTATGCAAACAACCCTCCCCCCAGTGAGCTGGGTATTCATTTTACTGACCTTAGAAGGATGGAAGGTTGAGTCAACCCTCAGCAAGCTAGCAGAATCCAACAGGATCTAACTCAAGTTGTGAGCAGAGGCTTTACTGCAATAATTGAGTTTAACACTGTGCCATGGAGCTTGATCCCTCTTTATTCACAACAGTAACCCCCGTGAGATAGGGCAGGCTGGCCAAAGGCTACTCAGTGGGGACTAGACCTTATCTCCCAAAGCCCAAAATTAATATTCCCTCTGTAAATATAAACGCTCAGATTGCCAATTATATTATGTCAATCTGACATAAAATAATCAGACTCCTATCTCATACTGTGTACACAATGAAAATTAGCCATGTGGTTTTCTATCCATCACAAGTCTGAGTGCACAACCAAGTGTAAAACCTGTTTATGCTTAAATGCATGATAGCTGGAATGACCACAAAAACAAGCCACACAACATGGGGTTTACGCTGTGCAAATTCAGTAGGATTCTGATCTGTGAGAAGTACTGAGTTTATATTCTGATTTCAATCCTGGAATCTCCTGATGGAGTAGAAGGACTACTTTTATCTTTTTGCCACACATGTAAACCTAGCAGGGGATTATCTTCTTAGCACGCAAGTCAAACAGTGAAATTGGTATTGGCTGAGGGAGACAAACCCTTTTCACTCTGATCTAGCAAACGCAACTGAGAACTTTAGTATTTTGTATTTCTTTTAACTGCCACTAAGACTGCCACAGTGAAGACATAACTGACCAGAAATTTATGACTTTAAAATGTGCATTAACAATGTGATCCTTGCCAACATGAGGGAAACTGTAAAGCTCTTCACCGTATGTCCCCACCAAAAAATCAAAACTGCAAAACTGTATTTTCTAACACAAACTCACCCATCAGAACAGTAATGTTAGAATCAAGCAGACATCCGGATGAGAAGTTAAAAATGGACTTGACCTTCCCCAATTAGCAGACAGTTTTACACAGCATACTACAGAGTAAGTCTTCATGATCAAAGACAAGGCAATCTCTTACTGAACAAATCATTATTGTTTCCAAGCGCAAACTTCTTTTTTTTCCAGCTTTGAGTCTGAACCAATATTTCATAAATACTAGGCAAATTTCTGTATCCTCTACAATAAGAGCTGGCATTTGCCCCCAGAGGACAACACTGCAGGAGAATCCTATAGTTTATTGCTGTAAAAATTTCAAGGACATGTTTTTTGAGGGCAACTCTGATGTAGAAACTGTAGATTCACACACTTGACCTGTTTCTGGACACATAAGATGAAAAGTCTACCTATTAACTGGTAACCTTTAAAAAAGTGAGCTGTATTAATTATATCATTTCTAAAATCACAATTAACTTAAATCGACGGTGTGTACAATAATTGCAAGAATAGACTAACTCAAAGTCTTCTACTTAATTTAGTATTTTATGGACAAGATGTAGAATACATTAAATGCTAATGTTATTTTTATCTAGCGTTAAACATCTGCGTTATACAGTGACAAATTTATTCTGATACAAAAATGCATTGCATAAAGCACCAGATCTAAGGAAGAAAAGGTGTCTAAAAATCTCATATAGGAATTCAACAGTTAATATATACAAGACAGAACGCTGATGAGTACAAATTGGTGGCCCTAACCTTTGTGAGTATCTCAAGTGTCAGCTCTGGAAACTCAATGTCATCAGATTATTATTATATGATGTTATATTTGTGCTGAAATGTCTTCCCTTAGAATATTAGCAGGTGTTTTCCAGAAACAAGGCTGAGATGAGGAGGAACCACAGAATCTGCCTCTAAGAAGTTCTTATTGCAGAAGCTCCAAGAACTGTAAGTGAAATCCACCACTTAATTTGAGCTGCAGTTTGCCTCTACAGGCTACATAGATGTAGAAACATATTAGAAACAAACAAAAAACAATCACTATCTGAAATCTTCAGTAGATACGCTGTAACAGCACCAAGGCAGAAATGTTATACGTGAAGCACTTCTATGGGTGCACTGCATAATCAATCATGATGGTAACCCTGTGACCAACTGTACAATTGACTCACACAATCCTATGCCTGGCCCTCTCCCTGCCTACCTTCAAGAGGTTGCTTAAGATGTGGCTCTTCATTAAGGCCTTTGACAAACAACCTCATATGAATTTGCCACTTGCCCTGCCCGCTCTATGCTGGGCAATTCTTGCACTGGCTTGGCTCTGTGATGTTTATGCTGATATGATTTGTTTTCTATTTTATTTCTCTTATTATTTTATCTACTGTTATTTCAGTTTTGCGAATTGCCCAGAACAGTGCCTTGCTCTAGTGAGGCGGTATAGAAATTTATGAAATAAATAAATAATAAATCTTGCCTGGATGTAATGCTCAGCAAAGTTATCCTTGCATAACTTTATATTATATTAAGTGGCAACATACAGGATTCTATATGTTCTTAAGTCTTACCTTTGAATGAAACTGCCACCTTTAAAGAACATCTCCAACTGAATTTCTTTTCTTAGCTCTTCTCACATCAACTATATACTATTCAAGTTATGAAAGCAGAATATAGAACTGAATCGTGATTTGCATAAAGTTCATTTAGAATAAAGAGTTTACATAAGATAGGTCATAGAGGACACACAGGCACACCTAAGCTCCTTAAAGTGAATGACAAAGTCTGCATACATTAGTTTCATCCGATTTCAGCCACCCCTTCTGGTTCATTAAGTTACACAAACTTATCTAAATCCATCATGCTAATCACCATAAACATCTGAAAAACAGCAATACTCTTAGTCATCCTGCCTCATCCACAGGACAACTTTTTGTATGCCTAAACTCAAGCATTCCATTTTCTTAATTCTCACACCACTGAATCAGGTGAAGAATACCTAAAAGGAAAGAATAGTGAACCAGCTAGGAACAGGATCTTGAGATAAGACTCTTAGAGTTTCCATCTTCTCATCACATTTAAAGGTAGCCTTATCATATGATCTCATTGGATTTGTGAAAGGCCAAACTCTCATGCAGTTGCATCATCACCCCAGCTTCATTAGAGAAGAGCTGTTGTTTTATTCTAATAGTTTCTCCTGGTGATTTTAGAAGTCTGTATTTGCCATAGGTATAACATTTACATTTCAAATCTATATCCAAAAGCAAAAGTGATGGATTAACAAGTCAAGAGAGTGGAAAGTTGTAGTTAAAGTTGCAGACAGCTCCACACTGCACAGACATTGTTCCTTCTTTAGTTATGGTAATCTAGTTAGTAGTCTGTTGCAGCACCAGAAAAACCAAAAGTCTTCTAGCACCTTTAAGATTAACTAGCTTTTATTTTTAATTAGCTTTTCTTTGTCCATGCACACTTCTTCAAATGACTGGATTGTTTGTTCTCTGTTGAGAGTTTTAAACTGTTGGCAGGAAGGGAATATAAGGGAAGGACTACAGTAGGGTGTGTTGGTCTTGGGTCAAGAAGATCTTTTATAGACAAGAAACGATGAGCCTACCTATTAAGATAATCAGGGGAGACCTTTCTCTCACTCCCACCACCAGCACACGTGCATTAAAAAATATAATAATTGATTGCCGTACTTGACTTTTTAACTTTGTTTCTTCAAAATATTGTAAGCCGCTTTGAATCCTTCAGGAGAATGGTAGTCTATAAATACCTTAAATAAATAATAACCTAAATTATTAATCTGTGATAGAACTAGTAATTGCCTATTGTCTATTAAAGATCTTCTTGACTTAGGACCGATGCATCCTACTGAGCTCCCTCCCTGACACACCTGCCTTGTCAACTGTTTTAAACTCCCTGGAGCAGAGGTCGTCAACCCCCCCCCCCGTCAGCGGCCCATACCGGTCTGTGGACTGAGCCAGACCAGGCTGTAGAGACGGATATCCCACCCCCTTGCATGCACTCCCCTCCCCGCAGCTGCTTCGCGCATGCACACGTGCCAGCGCTGGTGTGTGCCCTCCCCCACCCCTTCACACATGCACCCGTGCGAAGGGGTGGGCGGGTGTGCAGGTGAGCATACAGGCACTGCTGCGCCTGTGCAAAAGGGTGGGGGAGTGTTTGTGGTGGCTCGGGCATGCACACGCTCCCCGACCACTTCATACATGTGCCTGAGAGCATGAGCGCGCCCATGGGGGTGCCCCACCTTCCATGGACTGGGGCTTGGGGACCCTTGCCTTAGAAGACAGAAACAAAATTCAAAATGACCTTGATAGGATGGAACACTGGGCTGAAACCAACAGAATGAAATTCAACAGGGCTAAGTGCAAAGTACTGCACTTCGGAAAAAGAAACCAATTGCACAGTTAGAACATGGGGGATACCTGGCTCAGCAAAACTACAAGAGAGAAGGATCTTGGAATTGTTGTAGATCACAAGCTAAATATGAGCCAACAGTGTGATGTGGCTACAAAAAAGGCTAATGCTATTTTACGCTGCATTAATAGAAGTACAGTTTCCAAATCTCATGAGGTGCTGGCCCCCTCTATTCAGCACTGGTTAGGTCTCACCTTGAGTATTGTGTCCAGTTCTGGACACCACACTTCAAGAAGAATGCTAACAATTTGTTAGCATTCAGAGGAGGGTGACAAGGATGATCAGGGGGCTGGAAACCAAGCCTTATGAGGAAAAGCTGAAAGAATTGGGCATGTTTAGCCTTGAGAAAAGAAGACTGAGGGATGATATGATAGCACTTTTCAAATATTTGAAAGGCTATCCTACAGAGGAGGGGTAAGATCTGTTCTGAATCATCCCAGAGTGCAGGACACGCAAAAATGGGCTCAAGTTAAAGGAAGCCAGATATCGGTTGAATATCAGGAAAAACTTTGTAACTATTAGAGCAGTATGACAGTGGAACCAGTTACCACGGGAGTTGGTAAGGGTTCCAAAACGAGGTATTCAAGAAAAACTCAGATCTGCCCCTGGCAGATACGCTTTTATGGTATTCCTGCACTGAGCAGAGGTTTGGACTTGATGGTCTTGTAGGCCCCTTCCAACTTCACTTTTCTATGATTCTAAGAACTGATGCCCGATTCCCCTAAAGAAGCATGCTTGAACACATGAAAGCTTATGAAAAATAAAAACGACTTAGTCTTAAACACGCTAGAAGACTTCTGGTTTCTCTCATTCTTGTTATGTAGCAGTTTTAACCACCCCATTAACAGAGATATTAAGTACAATAGAGTTGAAATGGCACACAAAATAGCAAATAATCAGTTACTTTGGTGTAAAATGCCATATAAGCATTTTTCCCGCTGGAGGTCATTGCCTATACCTATAGGATTTGGGCAGGATCTTTAGAGAGGTGAAAGCCACCACATGTGCACTGGACACTTGCCCTTCCTGGCTTATAAAAGCAGTCAGTGGGGGACTGGCTCGGTGTGTTAAGAGAGTGGGGGATTCCTCTTTGTGGCAAGGCAGGCTACCAGTATACCCACAGGAGGCAGTAGTAAGACCTTGGTTTAAAAGCCTTCCCTGAATCTCATTATATTGGATAATTTTCAGCCAGTCTTCAGTATTTCATCAATGGGCAAGGTTTTAGAGCATGTGGTGGCATTCCAGATCCAGAGGTTCCTGGATGATGCAGATTATCTAGATAGATTTCATTCTGGCTTCAGACCTGGATACAGAACAGAGATAGCTTGGGTCGCCTTGGTGGATGACCTACAGAGAGTGTGTCCCTGTTGATTCTGCTGGAACTCTCAGCGTCTTTCAGTACCACTGACTATGTCATCCTTCTTGCGTGCCTTTCTGGGATGGGATTTAGTTACTGTTTTACAGTAGTTCCAATCATTTCCGGATGGCCAAACTCAGAAAGTAGCACTGGAGGAATCTTGTTTGACACCCTGGCCTGTGGTGTCTGCCAGGGTTCATTTCTGTCCCCATGTTATTCAACATATAAACGAAACTATTAGGAGAGTTTTGTCTGGGGTTTTGGAGTCCAGTGCCATCAGTATGCTGATGGCACCCAACTCTTATCTTTGCTTCCCATCTGTTTCAAAAGCTGCTCTCTGGCTATATCAGTGCATATTGTCAGTAATGGATTGGATGAGGCCTAATAAACTGAAACTTAATCTGGAGGAGACAGAGGTGCTCCTTCCTGGTCAGTCATAAGGCAAATCAGGGGACAGGGATCCAGCCTCTACTGGATGGGTTTCACTCCCCTTGAAACATTAGATTTGCACCTTGGGTATACTCCTGGGCTCAATCCTGAGCTTGGATGCATAAGTCTCAGTGGTGGCCAGGAATGCCTTTGCACAGTTAAAGTTGGTGCACCAACTGTGCCCATTCCTGGAGAGGTCTGATATGGCCACAGTAACTCATGCTTTAGTACATTTTGTCTGTATTACTGCAATGTGATCTACACGGGGCTGCCTTTGAAATGTTCAAAAACTTCAGCTGGTTCAGAATGCTGTAGCCAGACTGTTGACTGGTGCTGATTACTGGGAGCATTTAACTCCCTTATACAATAACTTCACTGGCTGCCAGTCTGTGTCCAGGCTCAAGTCAAAGTACTAGTTATTACCTGTACAGCTTTATACACCTTGGGTCTAGGCTATCTGAAGGATTGTATCAGCTTTTAAGATCTTCTCGGAAGGGTGTTCTCTTGGTTCTACCACCTTCCCAAGCTTGTTTGGTAAAAACACGGGAAAGGGCCTTCTCAGGGGCCGATCCCAAGCTTTGGAATGCACTGCCCTGAGAAGCCCCTTATCCTTCCATTGTCAAGCAAACACTTTTCTTTTCAAGCAAGCTTTTAAGCAGTAAGTGGGGGTCTAGGACACATTCCATTTGTGAAATGGAAATATCTTTAAACTTGCTTTAAACCTTAATCAATGTTTTATTGTTTTTAATATATAGTTCTGTACAGTATTTTAACATATTATTATTGTACTGTTTTAATAGTTGTGAGCTGCCTTGGGTCCCCTATAAAGAGAAAGGCAGCATATAAATAATATAAATAATAAACAAAATCTGTGTTATCTGACATAATCGTTCAAGGTCTGCAGCCTACTTCTTCAGATTCATCAAAAGAACAAGGTGACACTTAACACAGCAATGACTACCAGTTCAATTACTAGTAGCACAACCCATTCATCCAGAGACAGATCCACTTCAAAGCAGTGCTAATCGTGCTATGTGCAGCCACTTCTGGAGAGACAAAGGCCATACATGTCTTTTTAAGATGTTCCACTGCTTTGTCTTCCTCTGCAAGTTGTTCATTTAAGAATGACTGGAGAGCCTGAACACCCACAACCTGACAGTCTCAACACCAAAACCATGTTCAGCAGTCATATGCCTTCAGGGCCCCCTTCCAATGTTTGCAGCACCTTTAATTACTGAAAAGTAGAAAGAAAAAGTGGCCTCAAGGTACAAAAATTCTATGGAAATCAACAGTACAATATGAAATGAAGCACTGTTTCTTCCTCCAACTGGGATTTTGCTAATGGAAAAACAGAAAACTAGATAACTAGGGGGCAGGGTGGGATAGAAACAATAAAATATCTTTTCATGGATTTCTTTTCTGTGTCCAACAATGTCATGGAAACAGAATTGCAGGGAAACAAACAGGTCCAAAGTGCTTTGTATAGCCAGAAGTGCTACAGAGGGATTGAACAACTGTTAATCAACTCCTGCTGTTTTGCTGGGAAAAATAAGCTTTCTCTACAACTTCCCCTCCACCTCTATTTTTAGCCGGTAGAACAAGAAGGCATACCAAGCTTCACAAAATGTAAGATGTTACACACATGTAGGCTCTCAGGATCTAGGTTCTTTTAAAGGGCCATTTCCACTTTAAAAAAATCTCTGGCAAACCCTGGGGCACGAAAGACTACAAAATACACGGATTTCCCAGCTTGCCAAGGCAAGTTTTCCTCCGTGTTTCCCATTCCAGACCAAGAGTAGGCGATGGGAAGGAGAAGGTGCCGGGGCGGGAGGGGGTAGCAGGGAGGGGAGGGGAGGCCAAGTTCTCCTCCTCCTCCTCCTCCATCTCCTCCCCGCCAACCTTGGCTTTGTCTGCCGCTCCTGTTCCTGAGGCGCCCCAGGGCAACTCAACAGGGGCGGCTCGCTGGGCACGAAAACGGCCTCTTGGGCCAACGGGAACGGCGCCTGTTGAACGTCCGTCCGTCCGTCCCTCCAGCGACTTCGGCGGAAACTCTGGACAGGGCCAGGGGCAAAAGGAAAGCGTCGAGGCAACTCGCGGGCGACGGCTGCTCTTCGCGTCTCCAAATCGCGAAATCCGGGGAGCGGACGATCCCCGCCGCCGCCGCCGCCGCCCTCAA